CAGTACCCTCTTCTGTCCGTACTGAAAACAAAAAAAAATCAAATCGCTGGCACAGGGCCGAGACAAAGAAGAAAGACAAGACGGTCAGGAGCCCTGTGGTTCACGTCAAGGCCGCAGCACCCTCGGACCCGCTGGAGGAGGCGTTTGCTGCCGCTGCTGCGGAGACCCTGAAGGAGTTCAACGCGTCCTGCTCGGAGGTATACATCTAGGTGTTGCAGGGCAGAGGCGGCTTAGAGGATCTCGCTAGAACTGATTGTTGCTTCATCGTCCGATTCCTGCGTCGGGTGGGAATACGTATTGTCAGACATCGGTGGGCAGTATATTGGGCAGACATCGAGTGGACAAGGTACGCGTGTCAGAATTTAGATGCAGGTTGTGCAGGGCAGCTTCGAGCACTTCTGGACCTGATTTACTCCATCCTCCGATTCGTGCTTCATCGTGGGGACAAATGATGTATCAGACTTAGAGGTAGGTAAGTGTGCAGGGCAGCTTCGAGCACTTCTGGAACTGACTTTGCTTCATCGTACGATTGTTGCATCGATGGACACTGTGGTTGTCATCGTTCCTCGCGATGTTGCCGAGACTACTATAGTGGTTTTGCCCTCGTAGCTTTTCTTTTGCTGTCGCTGTTTTGAATTGCTCTTTCCCGCCCCCCCCGCCCCCCTTTTTCGTGGCTTTCGCGAAGAGCATTCAACCCTCCCGGTTTGCGCTGGCTGTTTCCTCGAGGTCTAATCGCCCACACCACAGCAGTACACGGACAGTTGTTCAAGACGGAACAGTTTGTGCGAGAAAAATCTAGCGCTATTAGTCGATACCGATGTTACGGTTTAGCATGAAGTACGTATTACAGTGGTTGTTGAGTGATCGAGAGGGGTGCTGCGTTTGGCGAAAATACGGACTGCTCGACTTGACGTCATCGTCACACACGCAATACATCGAGAGGTAGCACCGTTCGCTCTACCGTCCACACTCGTCGTGCTTTTAATTTTGTCGAATTCCGCTCGTCCTTCGTCCCGCCTTTTCATCCCTCCCGCGTTCCCAGGAGGACTGCGGGACGGCGTTGGTGTCCCAGGAAGACGCCGGAAAGTCGTTCATCGCCCTCCAGCTGCCAACCACCCGCTCGATCAACGAACACATGGCCAACCAGATCTTCGACGTCTTGGAGAGAGGGAGTGAGTTGCTCGAGGGATCGAGCCTCTTGGGTGTCGGGTTGGTTGCGACTACTGTTGGGCACGCGGGCGTTTCGTTCGGGTTGGTTCGGGGTATATGCGTAGCGCACCCCGTGACTCCATTGGACGGTAATCTTCTTCCGTGTCATGACGAGGGATTCCGTAACTGATGTGGCCTCTTCTTCGGCGCCGCTGCAACGGGAATGAGCCCCAATCACCAGAACAGCAATGCCCCGAGAAGATGCCTAGCAATGTCGGGGGTCGAAATTCCCCGGAGTCTCTGTACTTGTACAGAGGGATTTAGTTCCAAGCGCGTGGTAGATATGCTGGTGTTTTTGTGCCTATTGAGAACGAAAATGGGGGGGGGGGGGGTATTTGTCGAATGCCACGGGGAACACGCTTTTCTTGCAAGTGTCGAAGGCATGTGCGCGTACCTGTCGTCCAGGCAGTGGTATACTCAGCAAAAAAAACCCGTCTGCGTGCCCCCTCTTCCATCCCACCGTTC